ATATACTATGCAGAATATCATTACTTCAGGAAAATATATAATTCAACTATATATGAACTGTTCTGTCACTTGCTTAAATTCTCCTGAGAACTCTAATGATGAGAGAAACAGCTTAAGAGTCTTTTCTAATTCTGCAAAAAAGTTTTATTCATTTCTTATGTTAGAATCTTGTGGTAAATCATTCAATCAGATAAAAAAAAGTCAGCAATTCAGGTATTTCCTAATTTTGATAACATAAATGACCAAAAAGCTCTGAATACATGTAGAAATTAAAGTAACTACATCAAATTAAAAACTGAAAAGCTTCTGCACAGTGAAAGATACAATCATCAAAATGGAAAGGCAACCCACTGTATGGGAGAGCATAATTGCCAATGATATATCAGATAAGGGGTTAATTTCCAATATATATATATATATAGAGAGAGAGTGCTCATACAACTCAACAAAAGAAAGACAAAGAACCCAATTAAAAAATGGACAGAGGAACCAAATAAACATCTCTCCAAACAGGACATACAAGTGGCTAAGAGACATATGAAGAAATGCTCAATATCACTAATCATCAGCGATGCAAATTAAAATAACAATGAGGTCTCACCTCACACCTGTCAGAAAGGCCGCCATCAACAAATCATCAAACAAGTGTTGGTGAGGGTGTGGAGAAAAGGGGACTCTGGTACACTGCTGGTGGGAATGCAGACTGGTGCAGTCACTATGGAAAACACTATGGTGTTACCTCAAAAAATTAAAAAATTGAACTTCCATTTGACCCAGTGATCCCACTTGTAGGAATATACCCTAAGAAGCCTGAAACACCAATCAGAAAGATTATGTGTAGCCCCATGTTTGTAGCAGCACTATTTACAATAGCTAAGATCTGAAAATAGCCCAAATGTCCATCAGTAGACGAGTGGATAAAAAAGCTGTGGCACATATACACAATGGAGTACTATGCAACTGTAAGAAAGAAAGATCTCTTATCCTTTGAGACGACATGGAGGGACCTGGAGAGTATTATTCTAAGTGAAACAAACCAAACAGAGAAAGACAAGTATCATATGATCTCATTTATTTGTAGAATATAATGAACATAACAGTCTGAGGAATGGGGTAGTCCCAGAGACGTGGAAGTGGGGTACAGACAGACAATCCTCAGAAGAGGGGGTGGTGGGGGAGAAATAAACCACAGAACTTATATGCATGTATGCATGAACAATGGACATGGATAAGAAAGGTGGGGACAGGGAGGGGAGGGAGGGGAATGGGGGAATCAGTGGGGGAAAAAGGAGAAACATCTGTAACAAAAATAAATTAATTTTAATAAGATAAAAAAATTTTTTTTTTAAAGTAAGTAACTAACTCAACTCTGTTATGGGGTATATGCATTTCCCTACTTCCTTTAGTAAATTGTGGTTCATTGTTTATCTAATTTTCTCCTTTAGACTTTTTAACTCAATGTATACTCTTGTATCAATTTTTAAAGTAGGTGCATGTTATATAAAAATTACATTGAGTGTCTTGGTTCCTATAGTTCATACCATTGTTTCTGGACTAAACAGTCAGAAGTAATCCCACTTAATGTATATTTTCAATGTGTCCAGTTTATTGTACACATGGATACAAAGAATTGAAAATAATCTTTTTTTAAAATTCTTACCCAAGGATATGTTTTTTATTGATTTTTAGAGAGAGAGAGAGAGAGAGAGAGAGAGAGAGAGAGAGAACATTGATCAGCTGCCTCCAGTATGTGCCCCAACCAGGGATCGAACCTGCAACCTAGGTATGTGCCGACTGGGATTTGAACCACAACCTTTTGGTACACAGGACAATGCTCCAACCAACCGAGCCACCCAGCCAGGGCAAAAACAATCCTTGACTAGGAAGAAAGTCTAAGAATTTGTAGCAGTTGCAGCATCTGTTCTTTAAATTTGTTGTTTTATTGGTACTTAAGTCAGCCAAACTTGCCTACTTGTTCTCTTACCTCTATCAAGGTTAATATATGTACCTCCATGTTCATAGCAGCACTATTTACAATAGCTAAGATCTGGAAAGAGCCCAAATGTCCATCAGTAGACCAATGGATAAAAAAGCTGTGGTACATATTTTTATCTTTTCTTTGAAAATAATGCGATATCTGTAATGATTCACTATGTTGCTATTTCCATGTCTTTCAACCTGATTTTCAAACATGGATTATTATTTTTCACTTAAGGAGAGTTAAATCACTGTACTGTTTTTATTCATTATAAAAGGCAAGTCTGTATTTACTATGTCATTGTAAAATGAAGAATTATAAAATTTTTAAGATTCACATATTCATAGACCATGATATTTTACATTCTTACATATATTCTGCTAAACAAAAATTTTAAGGACAAAAGATTTGCAAAAACAGAACAGCATTATTGGAAGGTTGCAAATGCTGTTCTTCCAGTCTTTAAAAATATAATCATTTAAAACTTCTTAAATAAGAGATTAGCCTAAAAAATGTGTTAGAAGCTTGTCACTATTTGTCTGAAAGCAAGAAGAGAATAGTGATAACAGGTAGCAACAGAAATTATTTTAGTATAGTCTTAGCTTATTCTCTCAAAAGAATTTTTCATTTATGTAGATAAGCAAACAAAACATTGAAAATAATTCACACCTTCATTTTTCAGCTTGTTTTCCAAATGTACTTTTCCAAAAGTACAAGAAATGTTGCAGGAAAAATTAAAGCAAAAGAATGAATTAACCTTGATAGAGGTAAGTAGACAAGTTTGGCTGACTTAAGTACCAATAAAACAACAAATTTAAAGAACAGATGCTGCAACTGCTACAAATTCTTAGACTTTCTTCCTAGTCAAGGATTGTTTTTGCCCTGGCTGGGTGGCTCGGTTGATTGGAGCATTGTCCTGTGTACCAAAAGGTTGTGGTTCAAATCCCAGTCGGCACATACCTAGGTTGCAGGTTCGATCCCTGGTTGGGGCACATACTGGAGGCAGCTGATCAATGTTTTCTCTCTCTCTCTCTCTCTCTCTCTCTAAAAATCAATAAAAAACATATCCTTGGGTAAGAATTTTAAAAAAAGATTATTTTCAATTCTTTGTATCCATGTGTACAATAAACTGGACACATTGAAAATATACATTAAGTGGGATTACTTCTGACTGTTTAGTCCAGAAACAATGGTATGAACTATAGGAACCAAGACACTCAATATAATTTTTATATAACATGCACCTACTTTAAAAATTGATACAAGAGTATACATTGAGTTAAAAAGTCTAAAGGAGAAAATTAGATAAACACTGAACCACAATTTACTAAAGGAAGTAGGGAAATGCATATACCCCATAACAGAGTTGAGTTAGTTACTTACTTTTAAAAAGAAATCATTTTATCTTATTAAAATTAATTTATTTTTGTTACAGATGTTTCTCCTTTTTCCCCCACTGATTCCCCCATTCCCCTCCCTCCCCTCCCTGTCCCCACCTTTCTTATCCATGTCCATTGTTCATGCATACATGCATATAAGTTCTGTGGTTTATTTCTCCCCCACCACCCCCTCTTCTGAGGATTGTCAGTCTGTACCCCACTTCCACGTCTCTGGGACTACCCCATTCCTCAGACTGTTATGTTCATTATATTCTACAAATAAATGAGATCATATGATACTTGTCTTTCTCTGTTTGGTTTGTTTCACTTAGAATAATACTCTCCAGGTCCCTCCATGTCGTCTCAAAGGATAAGAGATCTTTCTTTCTTATAGTTGCATAGTACTCCATTGTGTATATGTGCCACAGCTTTTTTATCCACTCGTCTACTGATGGACATTTGGGCTATTTTCAGATCTTAGCTATTGTAAATAGTGCTGCTACAAACATGGGGCTACATATAATCTTTCTGATTGGTGTTTCAGGCTTCTTAGGGTATATTCCTACAAGTGGGATCACTGGGTCAAATGGCAGTTCAATTTTTAATTTTTTGAGGTAACACCATAGTGTTTTCCATAGTGACTGCAGCAGTCTGCATTCCCACTAGCTGTGTAGCTAAGATCTGGAAATAGCCCAAATGTCCATCAGTAGACAAATGGATAAAAACACATTGGTACATATACACGATGGAGTACTATGCAGCTGTAAGAAAGAAAGATCTCTTATCCTTTGTGACGACATGGAGGGACCTGAAGAGTATTATCCTAAGTGAAACAGAGAAAGACAAATATCCCATGATCTCACATATTTGTTGAATATAATGAACGTAACAGTCTGAGGAATGAGATAATCCCAGGGACATGGAATTGGGGTACAGACTGACAATCCCCAGAAGAGGGTGTGGGGGGATATAAACCACAGAACTTATATGCATGTATGCTTGAACAATGGACGTGGAGAATAAAGCTGGGGACTGGGCAGGGAGGGAGGGAGGGGGGAATTAGTAGGAGGAAAAGGAGAAACATCTGTAGCAAAAACAAATAAATTAAATAAATAAATAAAAATTAAAAAAGGTAAAAATAGAAAGTAAGTAAATGTAATAGTAAATACTACCCTAATACAAAAGATTATCATTGTATTTAATAAAATGCATTTGAAATGTACATTGTCGTAATTTCACTAATTTCTCAAATAACTGTTTATTTCTAAATAAGCAATAATTCACTATATAATAATAATTAGAATTTTCTACACCCACATTTCATTTATTTATTTTAATAAGAAGGACTGTATTCTAAATTAGGAATAATAAAAATGACTACAAAAAGTATCTTTTCAGCTTGGCTGGTGTTTCTCAGAGGACTGAGTGTTGTCCAATGCACCAAGAGGTCTCAGGTTAGATTTTTGGTCAGGGCACATGCCAAGGTTATGGGCTTGATCTCCAGTAGGGGGCATGCAGGAGGCCACTAATCGATGTTTCTTTTCTGTTCTCTTCCTCTCTCTCTAAAAAATCATAAACGCATTAAAAAAACAAAAAAAACAAAAACAAAGTGTCTCTTCAATTCAATTTGTTTTTTCTTGCAGAGTGCTGATATGAGCCCAGCAAGTAGCACCACGTCCCTCCCTGTGAGTCCTCTTACTGAAGAACCGTTGCCTTTCAAGGTAAAACACAAACAAACAAACATGATTGCTTATCATATTTTAGGATAGTTAATAAATACAGTAGAGCAGGTATTTCATGCATAGGTGGTAAAGTGAACTGTTGTAATCTGTAATAATCTTATATCAGATGTTAAAATCTTTTGTTTTGTTGTCTTTCTAGTTGCTAAATAAAAGTAAGGGTTTGGACTAGAAATTAATACTTTATGGAACACATTGTTTGCTTGGAATGTAAAACATAGTGATTTCATTTTAATAGTTTGATGTTACATGAATTAGAGGTTTCTAATCTTTTGTCTATATTAATTTAAGCAATAAATTTAGAATGAATGTTCAGCCCTCATCAAGTGGTTAAATTTTCATTGATGACTCTAGGTAATAATTAATTATCTAATCTTTACAAAATAATAGTCAAAATCAAGACTTGAAACATGGAACCATTTATCCAAACACATATTTTTAAAATATGTAAGTAAATATGTAAATAAATATTTAAGTAGTGTGATTAATAGAATCCTTCAGTTTGGCAGGCTTTATGCATTAAAAATATGAAGTCAACTTTTTGTTTTGCTATTTAAGATGAGATTTTTCTCTGTATGCCAAAGCTTGTAGATTAACTACTTTATATTTCTGCCAGGGATATTTGGTTTTCATTAGGATTATTATAAATAACAATACTCCTTAAGAGTTAGAATAATACACTTACATGCAATAGTTCCGGTTTAGTTTTGTTTAAAGACAGAGAAATGTACACTTTGGGATTCATTGTGACTTTCATGATTTTTGTATTCATCATAAAATGGTTATTGTTATTGTGGATTTTTATTTTTTATTTTTCATACGAGGTCTATATCTTATTCAACCTCATACTGCTTATACCTAGTGCAGTGGTGGGCATGTATTTACATACATTGAATATTTACTGTAGTGTTAAAATGAAAATAATAGAAGACAATAAATTCCATTGTATATCTTAGTTTTCTAATTATGCATGTTTTCTTGCTTAATGATAGATAGTAATAATAGTTAAAAGCCCATTTTAGCCCAGCTGGTGTGGCTCAGTGGTTGAGTGTTGACCCATGCACCAAGAGGTCGCTGGTTCAATTCCCAGTGAGGGCACATGCCCAGGTTGTGGGCCAAATCCCCAGTGGGGGGCATGCAGGAGGCAGCCAATTGATGTTCTCTCATCGATGTTTCTCTCTCTCTCCCTCCCCTTCCTCTCTCTCTAAAACTCAATAAAGAAAAAAAAAAATTTTAAGTCCACTTTATATCAGAAAATTGTGAAGTACTGAATAGTATTCTGATTATATTATTTATTGAGAAATATATCTTTGTTATTGTATAACAAAAGGAAAAAATAATACAAATGTTTCAAAGCTTAATGTTACTTGATATTTTCACCTTATGGTGCATAAGATAAAATTAACAGAAGAAACATATCTTTCACAATGTTTTAATTGGATTTTAAAAGCATCTTCAGAAGCCATTTTCTCTTTATAATATATTGACAATGCCTACACTCCTTGAAAATTAATATATTTATTTTTTGTTAATCCTCACCCAAGGATATTTTCCCACAGATTTTTAGATAGAGTATGAGAGAAAGAGAGAGACATTGATTGGTTGCCTCCCACATGGCCCCAAACAGGGCTGCGGATTGAAGCTGCAACCTAGGTATGTGCCCTTGACCATGAATCAAACATGCAACCATTAGGTCAGTGAGCCAACACTCTAACCACTTAGCCAAACTGGCCAGGGTAAAATTAATGCATTTTTAACAGAGTTAAAATTAAAGGTGAAGCTACAGTCTAAAATAAGATGACAGAAAGCTAATATAAATATGATTAACTTAGCTAGAGTGTCTGGTTAGTTCTAAGAGCTCAATACTTGTTCCTGTGTTAATGTGTTCAGGGTATTATCAACAATTAAAACTTCCAAGTGCTGCCCTGGCCTGTTTCGCTCAGTGGTAGAGCATTGGCCTGCAGACCAAAGAGTCCCAGGTTTGGTTCCCACGAAGGGAATGTACTTCGGTTGCAGTTTGTCCCCAGCCCTGGTTGGGGTCGTGTGGGTGGCAACCACTTGATGTGTCTGTCTCACATCGATGTTTCTCTCTGTCTTCCTTCCTCTCTCCCTCCCGCTCTATCTGAAGATAAATGCAAAGTTGTCCTTGAGTGAGGATAAAAAAAACAAGCAACAACAAAAAAATTACAAGTGCTTATAATATATAAGTTTGGATTTTGATAGCCAAGGCAGTTATAGTACCACTTAATTTACTTCTTTTGTGAAAGGAATATTATTTATATTTTTTTTGAAATATTTTATCAGGTACAAAAACATCTCACTAGTACTTAAATGTATTTAAAGTTTGAAATTACAAAATGAAATTCCTGTGTTTGCTTCTTTTGTTTTTATATTATAAATTGTTATGTAAATGAGTAATAAATATTCATTTATCTTTATGTAAATAAAAAATATATAGAAATTCTTTTGAGATATACCTTAGTAATATAGTGCAACAAAAATGTGTTGAAAACTATTTAACACATAAAAGACATTTAAGTTGTCTTATAACCATATCTGGAAAAATCCTGATAATTTATTTGCATCTAAAATTTTGTTTAAAATTATATTTGACTAAATGATAATGAAAAGAATTTTTTTTCTCATTCCCCATAAGTGTGGCATTCTCTTTCAAGTAAATATAAAATTGATCCTCTTTAACTCCTTAGCTTCCTTTTCTAAGACCATGATTCCAGCATCCAACACCATGACCATCTGCCCTAATGAGGCCTCTGAAAGATAAGCTTTGATGGCTGATTGAAGGAATTGATTTTATCCTTTTCCTGGGAAGTAATTAGATTACTAAAATAAATGTATTCCATTTTTTTCCTCAGTCTATTCTGGAAGTACTCATGCAACAGTTGGAGGAAAATATCCTGTTTGGGCTCAAAAGTTTGCCAAAGTGAATGCTGTTTTTAATTATCATCTTTAGATAACGTTCAGATTAAATTGGTTTTAACCTTACAATTTCAAATAATGACATATATATCTGAATGTCAGATGATAAATTGGCTAGCAATAGTCTACAGTAGAGTCTATTAAATTAAATGTGGAAGAAAACTGGGTAATATCTGGGAGAATCTCCCAAGGAGTCAAGAAAGGTAGGTTAAACAAGACATTAGAGAACTTGTTTGGGACAAAATGCTTCTTTTCCACAATAAGGCAGTATTTTTCAATACCATTAATATTTTAGCTCATTCTTCAATTTATTTTTTAAACAAAAACCTATCTATACTGAAGAATAATTAAAGCCTCATATACTTACTCACTTTTCTATTTTCTCCACGGAGCAGTTAACCTCCTACTGAACTTAGACTTGCATTTACCACTTAAAACCTATTGCTATAGTGTTTTGTTTGGCTTAGTTAGTCTTTCAAAAAATGAGAATGTTTCCTTCCAATATTCATTGAGTCTTAAATGATTGCAGGGAACTTTGGGCCTTTCTTTCAGATAGAACTGATTGACCAACGATAAGAAGGGCAGGGCCCAGGAAAGCCATTTCACCACCGTCATTACCATCCCCCACTGTATTCATGTCTGGCCATGAAAGCTTTTGAATATATCTTTTCAGAGAAGAAGATGTATAATGCATGATTCTCCACTTTATTGCAAGTAATAAACTCACAGACTTCCCAGTCAGACTCTTGGTGCTGAGAAGTTTCTAGGATTCCAAGTTCATATATTTGTGCAGAATATTGCTATGGACATACTTTTGGAGACAAAGGGCAAATGTATAATAACCTCTATTTTTAAATACAGTATTCAGCATTACATGAACTCTATACACAGCTGGTCTGTCATATGCCACTACATCATTATGGATAACTAATTTGCATGGGTGGGAATAATGTTTTATCATGTAATCATACTAAAATCATAAAAGTTCATGATCATTCATCTAAGGCTTTGATATTTAAAAGAGAGAGAGAGAGAACACACTGCTTAACTATTAATTACATTTTTTCTGTTTTTCTATAGAATAACAATGAACCCAGTTGACATTGTTAAATTTGATTTTCCCGGTTTACTGTATTCAACATTTTCTCTCTGCCATTCTCCCTGATTTTTCTCAACTGTCTAATCACCTGCCTCCTCTCTCCCTATATGTTAGCCTCAGTCAGATGTTCCACACCAAGGATGCCTTGGGGCCACCACATTTTACCGTTCTTTAGTAGGAATACCCTATTAATTTATTTGTATGGAAACAGTCTCATTCCATTCCTAGAACTAACTCTCTTGAAGCTAAAGCTGGTTCATTGTTCCCGACCCCTATAATAATAGATGTTATTTTGGCCATGTTCTTTTTGCCAGCCACTTTCATCACATAGTTTTAAATTCATTTATACTTTAATGAAGCATGGCTTCTAGATATGGTCCCTTTTCCTCCAAAAAGCATCGTTTCTTTGATTAGATATGTTAGAAAAAGGAATTTTTTTCCCCTTATCCTTTTATTCTTATCCTGCGATAAATTGAACAGATAGAAACAAATTCAACTCCATTTTTCTTTGGACTCTGCTTCAAGAGCACAAAAGGCACTGAACTCGACCCTCCATTCACCAATCTTCAAAGTCTAAAAGCAAAAATAATTCGTTGCTTTTCTTGACCCATTCACTGACTGCTGCTTCTCTGTGACATTTAGGTTCCTAGACTAATGAGCTCGAGTGCTTAGGATATGCATTGGAGCCCCTATCTGACGGCCAGCCATCTTCCCAGGAGCTGCCAAAGAGTGGTGCTGGGCTCGTACCCGGGTCTCCTCGTGCAGTCCAAAGTTCTCTTGACTCCTTTTCTCATCCTCAGAAACCATCATTTAGTCTAGACTAGAGAAACTCTTCAAGGTTTCCTCAGATATTGTTTCTCTCTCTTTAATTAGCCAGGGTCTGAAAAATGTATTTTTTGAAATATAATTGAGGAAAAGAATTGTCTGAAGTGTCTGATGATTCTTC